GTGAATTGAGCTTAAGCGCCTTAATTATTCTAATTTTAGCCAATTCTCAAGAGTTCAAATGCTTCTAATGTATTAATTTGGAGATCATTACTCATGATGAGGTCATTTTGTCAGAATAACTTGGATTAAGAAAGTTAACCCATGATAAGTTAACTCAAGATATCACTAGATCTAATTCGCATGAATGGTTACTCAAGGTTAATACGTAGTCAGATCAGATCCACTTAGGAGCTAATTGACATTAGAGTATTAGACCATGTCTGGGTCAAAAAGTTCCTTGTCCGGACTATAATTGAAACCATGAATTCGGCATGACCGAGCAGACAAAACTGACTTCAGACATAACTCAGTAACAAGCATGGTTCCGTAGTTGTAAAGGTTGACATGAAAGCAGAAGAATTTTGAGATACTGATACCAAGCGAACAAGATAATTACTCCCATGATACCCTTCCTCATTAAATAAGAATAATAATGCCACTAATTAGCGTGAAACAGACAGCAATGATGCAGGTGAATCCCAGACACAAGCAAGAAACAATAATTGAAGCTTTTCATGCTTCAATCATGATTTCATTTCGTTACATAAGTGACAGTGCTGACGAGATGCTGCCATTCACCCTTTCACTTTAATTTTTGTCATACATTCTCTGTTACAAAAGCAGGAAGTCAAGGACTACTCAAAAGTGAGGTACTTGACGCAAGGGGAGGATCGAGAGGGAAAAGCATCACGTCTCTTGTATGGTTTGGAGATGAATTTATTCAAGGAGAAGACAGATGTAGTTCAGAGATTGGAGGGGTGGGGGTGTCTGAAGATTAGAAATCTGCAAAACTGTCAATTGATTACTTACTGAATTTACTTTCCCCTGTTTAATCAATCTGGAATTCATTTTCATGACCATATGTAAAGCCAAAGATTTCAGATTATGAAGCATATGCTGAATTATCTATAGAATGGATTTCAGGTTCTTCACCGAAATGGGGAAAGACGAGATAACATCCACATCCCCATCCCTTTCCATGCTAAATAAACAAAACATGTAGAATCTCTACCAAAGACAAAGCCAAAACATGACTCACATCAATGTAAAATCTACCAAAACCGCAACATGACTCACAACTTTGTCAGTCACGCAAAACTAAGCACACTACAGATAACCATCTGACTTAAACTCACTTGCCACCATGCTTGGCCTTAGAGTGAGACTGGAGAGCTTGCTCAGAGTTAAATGTCCTGTTCACAATAACCAAACAGGTTAGTGAATGTGTCATTCAAGAGGTATTAGAACTTAGAAGCACCATATTATGGGTTCTAGGGAAAGTACTTGCTACAGGAATTGCACTTGGTTTGACCACCAGATTTAGGAGTCTGAGCAGCAGCTTTACCAGCCTTCTTTACTGGGTGGGGAGTAGCAGTGTGACCACCCTTCTTACCATCTGCATTGCAAGTTAAAAAAAAAAAAAAAAACCTTTATATGAAAAAAATCCAGAAAAAATTTACAACAGGAAGCAAACTGTATTAAAAAAAAGTATCAAAATTTATTCATGAAAGGATATAACAGAAAAAAAAAAAGGATTCATGAACATCAGGTGAAAATGATTACTATAGACGAGAAAAAAAAAAAGACAAACATAGGATCAAACCATTCAAAGGTACCAGAAAAAACTAGAAAGGCAAAAAAAAGTGAAAACATGAACATTTTCAATTTAATAAAAGTTCTGTCGGAAGACCTGTCTTTTCAGGAGTAGCTGATTTTGCCTTCTTTGCTTGAGGTGTTTTTGTAACAGATTCAGAGGATCTCTTCTTTCCCACATCCTTGCTCACTTCAGCCTTGAAGATTTAAAAGTTTATAAGATTGTTGTTTAAAGGAAACAAGTAAATTTCCTATTGGTTTTCATTAACTGTGGTTTTCATTGAAGATTTAAAAGTTTATAAGATTGTTGTTTAAAAAAAACCAATAAGAAATACATCAATCAAGAGCCAAACAAATACCTTAACAGGTGTCTCTTCAGCATCCTCCTCCGAACTCTCCTCTGAACTCTCATCCATAGGCACCTGCTCAGCAAAAGTTCAAAATGAAAAAAAGTAGGATGTAAATGAATAAATAATTAAAATAAGATTCCATCAATTCACATAGTCAATATAATTGTTTTCCTCCACAGACTCTGTTGCAAAGCAATCAAGTTCCTTAATTCTACTCCACCTGCTAGCAGGGATCCATTGCATGCTTTTCTCTGTAAACAAACCACTCATTTTGATGCCACATTGCTCTACTTATACTTATCATTGTATTGTCTGACCTAGATGCTTCTTTGTACAGGCAAAGACCATAAATGGCATAACAAAGAAACCTCAAATATGTCCTCTTCAAAACCTAAAGAAAGGAAGCTTGAAGTGTGTATGTCTAAAACCAAAAAATCGCGAACTCAAACCATTACAGATAAGCACCTTTTCAAAATCAATAGTATAAAATGGAAAAAATTTGAATTCCTCATACCAGATTGAGACTTGCTCTAGCATCTAGTTATGACAGAAAAATACCTCATCAATATTCTCATCATCAGAGTCAAACTCATCCTCAGAATCATCTTCACCATCACTTTCATCTTCATCATCATCATCATCATCCTCAGATTTCTGATCCTTGCTTGGCTCTGTAATCTTGACATTTTGTTTTGCAGAATCTGGTTTAGCAGCATTATCATTAACTGATTTTGCATTTTGGGCCTCTGTCTTGGGCTTACCTGAAAGGAGAAAAATGGTTCAAAATAAAAACTAGAGTTGATCAAATGTATACTCTACCAATACAAAACATGTATGGGAAGAGCAGTCACCATTTTCTGTAACAGCTGCTGGGACCACCTCTTCCTCACTCTCACTCTCAATCTCATCTTCATATGGATAATCAGTGGCAAGATAAGAAAACATGTCAAGGAAGTAAGAGATGACATTCAAAATTTCTACAAGCCATTGACGGATTAACTATAAGATTAAGCTCTCAAAGTCTTAACACATGAGAGTTCCACCTAAAAGCTTTCCTAATTAAAAACTAATTTATGCAACTGGCATAACAGACAGCACCACAGGCTTCAGGAACCTAGAACATGAGACAAAACGTCCACATCAACATACAAAGGGATTATTGATAAAATCCTGAGTGGAGTGCTAATTTTTGCCATGCTAGTTTCAACCTAGATTGAAAGCCTAACACACAGCATAAGCACACATGGCAGACCATCTCTTCAAATAAAAGGTAAAAGGAAAAAAGAGTTCAATTATAAATTTTCCAACCCTCATACCTACTTTATGGGAAAAAGTTAACAACATATTATCTAAAAACTTTCCGCAAATAAAAGGATATGGTGTAGGTACTTCTGCTTTATAACCACAGAAGTGTACAGTCCCATCTTTCCAGTCATGAGAAAGCTCAAAGGCCTTCTCAAATACCAAATCAAATGACATCTGAGGGAGATTCTGGTGGGAAAGAGTTCCAAGAACAAGCTGCTGGTCATCAAACTTAACATAGAGGGTCACAGATTCAGCTTTGTTCTTTGACTCACCAAGTGCTGCCTATATAAGAAGCATTGCAGATATGTTTAGACAAACAGCTATAAGATAGAAGAATATCACCTTCAATGACATAATAAAATTGCTTTTAACCTGGGAAAGATGCATCAAGTAATCTACCGAAGCAGGCATTCTGTAACCACCAGCCCTAACTTCCACACCTGATAGCACAACCCAATTAAACACAGATAATGTAATTTGTTTGATATTAGAGGCTCAAATTGTTGATTTCACAATACTATGAGCTCATATAACAAATATAGTTAAGATAAATGCATCTCGAAAATTCAACTATTACAGTCACCAGTTAGCATCAGCACAAAAATTTACCAAAATGCTTTTCATTTCAGGAAACTAAAAACCCAACTATTTTATCATACATCATTTTGGACAGTAATATATATATATATATATATATCAACTTCACATAATTCTAACTTATAAGTATCTTCATATATCGTAGAGTGAGACTAAAAAAAAAGGTAATCTAACAGACTCAAGATACGCCTTTAAACAGGACCCATAACTGGAATCCTTCGTGTCTCATCAAACCAGACACTGAAAACCCCATTTGATTCTTATTATTATATCTACAAACAAGAATCATTTGTAGACAATCAAAATAGAGAAAATAATCACTACAAAATGAAAACAGATCATGTTCAAAAGCCTGTAGACTGATTAATATAGTTAATCACATCCGCAGCCCAAAGACATGACGAGAAACTGAAATGCTTTCAAAAAAAAAAAGGGGGGGGAGAGGGGAACGGAAGGACTGACTCGAAAGAATGGAGTCCATACTCGATAAACAGCAAGTAAACGAAACAAAAAACGCAGGAAAGCACAATGAGACAGATGATTACCCCAGAACTCCATGGTCGGCATGGTTGACACCGAGAGAAGAAGAGCGCCGACTAGGGTTTTAGGAGAGACGAGGAGGGAAACGAGAAAGCGGGAGTGAGATTGAGAGGGGCCGGTGAAGGGCGTATTTATAAAGGAGATGCCTCCACGTATTCTTTCCCCTCTCTAGGGTTTTTTGAAACTGTTGACCGTTGACTCCAGTAGAGGGCTTTAGTGTGGGCTCGGCCTTTGGGCTAGTCTTTGTGTGTGTGTGTGTGTGTGTGTAGGCCTTTCGAATTGGGCTAGTCTATTTTCAGTTATGTTAAATGACAAATTTAGTCCCTAAACTTTAAGTTTTGAATAATTTGTCTCTAAATTATTTTTTTACACTTCTTTGTCCTTCAACTACCAAAAATACTTTTTTTTGTATGTGTGTGTGTGTTTTTTCGTCAGCTTTGGCGGTTATGTCTGTATAGGTGGCATTATGTTGTCCCTAAATTTTTGTTTTATGCACATATGTTGTTCCTAGACTAATATGTGTTGCACATAATCATTAAAAAAAATTAAAAATTGAACAAATATAATGGACAATACTGACAAAATGATTAAAAAAAGTGCATGTTTCATAGTTGATAAATGAAAAGGTGTAAAAAGGATTATTTTAATTTGTACCCTTAAAGTACATATTAAATGTACAATTAATATACTTTTTAACCATGAATTCATATTGAAAAATAAAAAATTTGATATTAATTTTAATATTAGTATATCATGTGCCTTAATTTCATTAGTTAATTGTTAAAATTAAAGTCAAATTTTATTTTTTATGTAATTTAATAATCAAAAAATGAATTAATTACTTTTTTAACCAAGATTCAGGGTAGAAAAACCTGTGTAAAAAAAAAATAAAAAATCAAAGACTACTATCATTTAAAATTGAACGTTTTAAGGACTGAGTTTGGCATTTAACCTTTCAGTTACTAGGCGTTTTGGGCTGAACTAATACACATAAAAGATTGGGCTTAGCAAAACCCATTTAGCCTATCTTCTTCAAGCCGCTGCCCTTGTCTCAGATCAAAGCAGAGCTTGATTACAGGGAGCGGGGGCGCCACTCGATGATCTGGAAATGGGATTTGGGGCTTTAAGAACTGTTGTTCGATCGTTATCTCGCACCGTACTGTCTCGCACCTCCGCCACGTGTTCGGCGACATCGTTTCTCTCCTCTACTCCGTTTCCGACATCTAATTTCCGCTCCGCTTTTGCTCCGGCGGCTCATGGACAATCTCCATTGATCCCGGTATGTTCTCCTTTTCACAGCTTAACGGATACTCGTTACCCGAAGAGAAGACCCCAAGACAAGCCGCGTCGAAAGCGAACTAGCTTGAGACCTCCAGGTAGTTCATTTGCCTAAACTCTCTATATATTAAAATTATTTGTTCCGGCGAGTTTTCATATCTAATTTTGATCTGCAAATATCAGCTGAAATCTTGTTGCAGGGTTTATGGGTTATAACTAATGAGGGTTTTAGAGGTTGTTTAAGAGAAAGTTGTTTGCTTTACTTTGTTTCTATATTGCTAATTTTCATCTGATTAGAAACTGTAGATAAAGAAGAAGAAATAGAAATGAAATGCTAATTAATTTGATTATTATGCAGGGCCATATGCTTGGGTACAGTATGTACCGGGGCAGCCAATTCTTCCCAACAATCCTAATGAAGGGAGTGTCAAGAGAAGGAAGGAGAAAAAGCGCATGAGGCAACATCGGGCGTTTGTATTGGTTTGTATTGGTTTGCCATGTTCTTTGTTTGAGTGCAAACTATTTGCTTATGCTATTTGTTTGTTTGGGTATTTAACCAAGTCAACTGTGATAAATGGACTAATGTGCAACCATTTGCTCTTGTTCTTCATTCTTTGATTAAGTGCGATGTGGGGCTTTAATTTGATTGGTATATACTCGGAATTGAATGCGCTATTGACTTATCCCCTTTGACATTACATTTTTACTTTCATTGGGCCAATTTGTGTTTGTATGATCGTATCCTAAATTGCTGACCTTCAGTTCTGAGATAAGATGGTATTGTTTTGTTCTTTGGACAATGCTTATGTTATGTCTCAAATGGAATAAATTTTGGTGTACAGGGAGAGGCAAAGAAGAGGAAGGCTCTGGTGCAGGAGGCTAAGAGGAAGAAGAAGATTAAACAAGTAGAGCGTAAGATGGCTGCAGTGGCAAGGGAAAGAGCATGGGCTGAGAGACTGGCAGAGCTGCAAAGCCTCGAGGAAGAGAAGGAAAAAACCATGGCTTGAGTTATTACTCTCTAGGACTTCATATTGTGAAGTTCTGATGGTAGTGGTATGCTGATTTTGCAACACCCAACCTAATTGCTATAACTTCCTTGTATGTTTTTCCTCCAAGGTTGGTTATTGCTTTGCTTCAGTGCTGACATTTTTGATATTAGGGTGTACTTGTTTTGCACTTGTCAAATTGTAGACTGGGAATTGTATTTTGCATACAGAATTCATCAACCATAAGTTGCAATTCTGTTACATTGCTGACCTTTACTCCAAGTCTCCTTGCGCGTTTGTTATTATCAACTCTAGATTACCGTTCATGTTGGGAACAGAAACCATCCCATCATCCTCCACAACTGCCACTAGTGTCATCATCAACTCAAACCAAGAAAAATGAAAATTTGATCTGACTGCAAGTTTGATTCAATCATCCCCACGTGTATTCAATTTGGAAGGACTGAAAATGACTAGTAATGACTCAAAACTACCTCCATGAACAAAAGGATAACGACGGCAGAACTAACACCATGATGTTGAGTCCCATCTGTTTTTCCCATTAAGAAAGTTGCTGCTGTACAAATGCCATTTTGATGGCTCTTGCTGTGGTGGGGTTCCCACTTCATGGGTCTGTCTAGTTATACATATCCCTGCTGCCTCAATTATATGGTTAAGATATTTTCTTTGGTACATGTTTACCATGTTTTCCTGATTGGACCAATCTAATGGTTGGTGCACTACATGGGTGTGACCGTGATGGGCATCTTTCGCTTCATCTTCACCATAGGGAAGTAGACAATGCTGTCCTCTTGAGCAACCCATCTGCATTGGAGAGGAAGAAAAATGAATTAAGACCAATGATCAAGACTAGTTTATGTTAAAGGGAGCAGATAAATTACCGATAACGAGTGACTAGATGATGAAGGAAGATTGAAATCTCAAGCCTTGATAGTTCTAAGCCTGGGCAGAGCCTCTGTCCTCCTCCAAAAGGAGTAAAGTTAATCTTGTTAACAGTAGCTCCAAGTTTCTGCAAGAAAAAAAATATAGGAATATACATTTTTTAAGCCAGTACCCACAAAAAAAAAAAAAGAAAACAAAGGGGAAAAGTTTTTTACCTCCCATCTCCATGGATCAAAATGATATGGGTTTTGATAAATTTGGTCATCCATGTGAACAGAGGTAAAAGATGCCAAGACACACCAACCTCTTGGTATCAAATATCCTGCAGGATGCACGTTGTGAGTCCAACTTAAAATTTTTTTGCCTTGAGTCAGAAAAAGGAAGGATGGTTTTGATCAAATTTCATGATCCTGAGTTTCTGACCTTTAATCTCTATGTCTCTCTGGGTTTTCCTCCAAACAGCATTGACAATGTTTGCCATCCTTAGAGTTTCACTAATCACCTGGTGAGAAAAAAGAAAATTATACATTCATTATATATATTCTTTAACACCATCTTCTCCATCAATATTATCAAAGACTCACATTTTGAGTGAATGGCAAGGACATGTAGTCAGTCCAACTATAATCTTCTCCAGAGTTCACCTTGGCCATCTTTAGTTCCATGTTCTCCTCCTGCAGCATAGAATGTCAAAAATTAGAGTCTGTTTTTACCACAAAAAAAAATAAAAAATGTAGGAATAACTTTCTATGACTACAATTATTAGAGTTTGTTTGGCCCAACATCACAGGACTTTTCTAAGTTTAGTCAATTGCAGCTGTCACCTGATGGTCATGCTCTTCTGGCGCAAATGGGATGCCACCAAGAGTTTAAGCCTCAACCATCCCCACTCTTTAACCATTCTAACCTTCTCCCTACCCCCCACCCAAAAAAAAAAAAAAACAAACCTTAAAATTCAGTAATCTTTTATTAAAAAAAAACTAAAGTTACTTATTTTTAAAATAAAAACTAGATTGTTGTAGTGGTTTTTGAGGTATTTTATTGAAATAATATAGTACTAAGTTTTTTATTTGCCCGGATTTTTAAAAATTAAAAAAAAAACCTTAAAATTCAGTAATCTTTTATTAAAAAAAAACTAAAGTTACTTATTTTTAAAATAAAAACTAGATTGTTGTAGTGGTTTTTGAGGTATTTTATTGAAATAATATAGTTTTGAGATACGTATATTTTGTAATTTTTAAAAATTTAGTTAATAAATACTAATTAAAAAACAAACAAAAAGAAAAAAAAAATCCTTATATAAAAAATGGAGAAAATTTTTTTTTATGATCAATCTTCAGCTGTTGAACTTAGGCCCCAACTACGGCCTGAAAATAACTTGGGCCATCCCCATGTACAATGCGTCTCAGACGTGCGTGTGCTGGTCTGTCCATTACGTACCATGAGGTGGTTTAGGGCGGTGGGGCAGTGACTAAGGAAATACACCGCTACGGTCATAGCAGTGGGCACAGTCTCTTCTCCTGGGATCATCATCTCGATGATGTTCCCGCTGATCAAGTCCAACGTCAGGGATTGCTTCTCATTTGCCTCCCCATTATCACGTAGAAGCACGTCCACCGCATCATTCACTACACCCTTCTGATCTTCGTCCAATTTGTCCATCGCCAATCTTCTCTCCTCCACAACCTTCCTCACCATTGCAAGTAACCTTTCTTTTGCCTACATCAAAATATAATCAAGGAAATGAAAACACTTCCGAATATATTATAACATACAATCTTGCATATATATTGACTGAGAAAATATTATGCAGTTCAGATTATAAAATAAAAAATCTTGTATCAAATGTAAAAGTATAAATGTTTCATAATTTATATTAAATTACAAAACAGAAAGTCTTATACTATTAAATAAGTATGAGTTAATAAGATTAGTGACAACCTCTCATCCATAGTCTACCACTATTTCTAGAAGGATAGTCATTAAATATGATATGAATGCGTTTTTCTTTTTTCACCTTCAAGGATTTATGAAGTCTGGTTCCGGGGAGTTTGATGGGTAAGCAGATTAAACCCTTGATGAATTCTTCAAATTCTCTTTTCAGCAAGTTTAGATCTTCACCGGGGCCGACACTTAGTAACACTTTGACCAAAACTTGGAATGTGATCTAAGATGCCATAAAAGGAAGAATGTTAGAATCGGCATTAAAGTGTTTTTTTTTTCTTTTTCTTTTTTTAAATTGAAGCACAAATGATTAATTTTGGAATGTTTTGAATTGACCGATTTGGTTTGTTCTTGGACAAGAACAGGGTTCATGTCTTGCCAAGAAGCCAAGGTGAATTTGACAGAGTTTTCAATGTCTCTTGTGATTCGAGCTTTGAGCTGTGGTGACCGGAGAAAGCCTCCAATGAGAGCATGGACTCTCCGGTGAAGGCTTCCATTAGTCTGGAGGATAGAGTGTTCCCCGAGCAACTCTCTGATGGATTTGGGATATGCAGGGACGAAAATGTTGCCGTGGTTCTGTAGCACCACTTTGTTCACGTCAGGATCGGTGGACACGATGATCGGAGTTCCCAGGATGTGCGTCTTGAACACCTTCCCGTACCTGAAAAATGCAGCAGATGAATCGGAAACAGAAAAAACACTTACTGCATCTTTGGTATGGGACAATTGGGTTTTGGTCTTTTTCTTTTATCACACATTTAGGCTAAGGGACAAGCAGGTTTCTTTTTTTTTTTTTTAGTTATGACTTACGGCATTCAAGTCATTCTGCTCTAATTAATTCCATCATAAATATCGTCGAACCAACAAATCTCGAGTCTTAAAGACGCCAGAACTTTTAATTTAATTATTAATAGCTGTTTGCTGTGGCTCCTAGTAGGTTTAAGTTTCTGGATATTATTTATATTTTATGAATTAAATTTTTTTTAAAAAAAATTTATACTTTTAAATAATTTTTTAAACTTCAAAAAGTTCTTAAATAATAAAAATTTAAAAGTTTTAAATTCAAACTTTTCATAAATTCTCTTTTTACTTATTTTTCATTCAGTTTTTCACTTTTTTACAAATTAAAATTTTATTTTTCTTTCAATAAAAATTTAAATTTATCACTTATAACAATACTAAAAAAACAAAAAGTCCCACAAGCCCCATCAAAACAGGTTCTAAGACTTTATGTATCCGTGAGTTTGTTTTGAAAAGGAAATTAACAAGGGGACAGGTTTTTGTCCTTTAACTGAACAGAGGAAATTATTGCATGACAAGTTATTGCTGACAAGTTGTGATGAACTCATAATGACAAAGAAGAGCATAAAAAAAAATATATAGAACTAAAAATCTCAAGAATATACATATAAAATGGAGATATCTCTTATCCTCAAATTATGTTTTAATTATTTCATCAGTTGGGAAACGAATGCAATGTTGCACAGTTTTAATATTAAAAGGTTGTTTTTGTGTGAAAAATATTGGAGCCCCACCAACCTGTAATTCCCAATTAAGTGCATTAATGAATTAAGGATGATCAAGAAAAAAAATTGATAAGAGAAAAGAGACATGCAATATAAAACAAATTGGTATATGTTTGGAGAATAAAAAGAGGGCAAGACAAGAGCTATGAAGAAGAAGACAACCCCAAGAGCAACATATATATGATCAAGGAGAAGAAATTAGAGGCTTACAGAAGTTTGCGTTTGTCCATGAAACTGACAGGTTGAGAGGAGTAACCAGCAGCAATGAAATCAAGACTTTCTCCTATCAATGGCCAACCTAAGCTCCCTTTTGGAACTCTACTCTTCTTTTCAATCTTCTTCTTATACCAAAAGAACCCCATAACCAAACACATCAACAACACCCAACAGCACTCCATGATCCCCATCAAAACTGAAAACCCCTAGCTATGCAGCTAGCTAACGTTGGTGATACTCTGAAAAACAAGGGGGGGAAAAGGGAGAAGAGAAGGTCTTTAGCAAGTCAAGGAAGAGAGGGAATTGAATGAGATGGGCACATGGATATCTTAAGAGGAAGATCTGGAGTTTGCAGCTACCATTAAATGAGGTGGCCACATCGGGTGAACCCTCCACGGTTGTTCCATTTTGTCTTCTCTCTATTTAGATAGAGATGCATATATACTTCCTACCCCTTTTGGTTCCTATATAATAGAGGAGCCCATGTGGGGTAGATTTAAATCTTGTTCTTCTTTTGCTCAGTCCCACCAAAATCTCAATTTGTTGAGGTTAAACCCGAATGTAAATATCAAATGATCAAATCATCTAATCATAATCTCCTTCTAAGCTGCAATGGAAACCCAAAACCAATAAAAAAAAAATATTGGTTTAAATATTTTAGCTTCATTAGGAACTCCCTACCATAAAATAGAGGGAATATATTGGATAAATCTGTTACCTTAAATATGCCAGCTTCATGAATGAAATACCTAATTTTGGACCTCCTATATGTAGAAAAGAAAGCACTTTGCTAACCAATATTAGTCCTCAAAACGGAAATGAATTTTTTAAAAATAAATTTTGAGTATCTCGACTGGGATGGAAAGCTGTTTATGAGGGAGGTCAGAGGTGTGGTGTAGGTGTTACCTTACAGGGGAAACCCACCGGGCCTAGCTAGTGGGGCCAGCAACCTTTTTGGTATGGGGAGAATGACCAAACAATTGTGAATTATCTAGTGACTGTCTGCTCTTCCTCGCTGTTTCATGGCATTATTGTTTCTGCGAATGCTCACCATCTTTTGAGGTAACTGTTTTGAGTTATGACCCAACAAGGAATTTAACTGTTAGATCAAACTCACAAGTAAGAAGCTACTTTACCATTGTGAAAATGAATGATGTAGTTTTATGGTAAAAGAACAGAAACAAAGAGATAAATATCATACTACAAAAACTAGGGTTTCAACTTTGGCTTGCACAGGCAATGGCTGGTTCCTCTGCATGGTTGTAAAATGAGCTTAACTTAGTTATAGCAAGTGCGTCTCCATAAAGTGAAGCTCTTGTTGACCTTGTGATGTGGACTTCTACAAAATCCCCAACAACAGGATTCCGCTTATCACTAATATTACTGTCTCGGTCAGGAAGAGGAAGATTGATGAATGAAACTCTATGGCCTCTGTCACTCTTGCCAACGAGCTCTGTTTCTGGTGCTCTCTTGTTAGGTCCTTCAACCAACACAAGTTGGGTGGTTCCAACCTGAGAGTCGTAACACTGACCTGTACTCTCACGGAATGCCTGGATAAGTTCTGTAAGCCTCCTCTGCTTCACTTCATCAGGAACATTGTCAACATAGTTTCTGTGGGCATGGGTTTTCTCTCTCATGCTGTATGCAAACATGTAGGCCATGTCATAACCAACAACCTTTATTAGGCTTAAAGTCTCGGCATGTTCTTCCTCTGTTTCACCACAGAAACCTGTAAAAAGAAATCCAAATAATAAGAGGGCATCACTGGAAACTGCAGCCTATATCAGATGGAAAAGATGTGGGTGAATTGTTGGGTACACGAGGCCATTTTTCATTTTCATATGGCACAATGACTTACAAGATTAATAAATTTGATTTCCCAACAACAAATTGATGTAAGTATTTAAAAGCCCTCCAGGCATGACATGGATAGCTAGCTCTCTATTACCTTCAAAAGTGAGCCTAAATAGCAATTTCCAAATGGAAATAGCATTGGATAATATGTTTTGCATTTTAGTATATTTGCACATGATGAATTAGAAGATCAATGCTAAGCATGCACAGGTAAGCTCTCCTTAAGGACAGGTGCAGAAAAACATTGGCACCAGATTCTCCTACGGAAGAACACCACTAGCAAACACCTAATGGAAACAGAAGCAGCTCTGAGGGCCCAAAATCAAACATCATAATAAACTATATGATAAATCATCAAGTCAAATTACTGCACTCCACAAAAAGAAATCAGTTCATATGGATGACAGTTATCTCACTCAGGAACTAGGCTCCAAGTTATGATCAACCTACATTTCTATTAATGTTATTCTTCTTTCAGGCCAGAGGAAAGGTTAATGAAATCGGGTCTCAAATATAAACAATAATATAAACCACAATAACTTTGAAAAACCTTACCACATATAAAGTCACTGCTAAATCCCATATCCGGAACAATTCTCCGTATCTTTTTCACAAGATCTAAGTACGCCTCTCTTGTGTATCCCCGGCGCATCCTTTCAAGTACTTTGCTACTTCCTGATTGTGCTGGCAAATGGATGTATTTGCATATATTATGACGGTCTTGCATGATATACAGTAACTCATCTGGGAAATCTTTGGGGTGTGGTGATGTGTATCTGAACCTCATTTCAGGGAACTCTAAAGAAAGTCGATCCAAGAGATCAGCAAAACGTAAACCCATCCTTTTCACCTTAGCCATGCTTTTAAAGCCTTCACTATATCTCCAATTTGTTCCTGGTTCAACTTCTTTTTCAACCCCTGATGCATCATTATAGCTGTTAACATTCTGGCCCAAAAGTGTTACCTCCTTCACTCCTTCTTTCCAAAGCTCTGCCACTTCCTTCACTATGGATTCCACAGGACGAGAACGCTCTCTGCCTCTAGTAAAAGGAACAATGCAAAATGAACACATATTATTGCAACCCCTCATCACAGAGACAAAAGCAGTAACAGAATTTTTGGAAATTCGAACGGGACTAATGTCAGCATATGTCTCCTCCAGAGAAAGAAGAGTGTTGATCCCTTTCTGACCATAGTCTACTTCTTCCAACAATCTTGGCAAATCTCTATAAGCATCAGGTCCACAGACCACATCAACCATCTTATCCGCGTCCAGTATCTTATCCTTTAACCTTTCTGCCATACATCCCAACACAACCACTTTTGGAGGGCGTACGGACTGTGACCTTCCTTGAGCTACATTGCTTTTCCAGTGCCTCTTTAGAAACCAAAAATAATTAAGCCTCTGCCACACTCTTTGCTCAGCATTGTCCCTAATGGCACAGGTGTTTATAAATATGACCTCCGCAATCTCTGGAACATCCACAACTTCATTATATCCAGCATTCTTCATAATAGATAGGACAATCTCCATATCATTGATATTCATTTGGCACCCATAAGTCTCATGATAAATACGACCTCTTGAAGTCAAAGAAGGTTCAGAAGCTGCCAGAAGCCTAGACAGAACATAGAAACAATAGAAGAAAGCATGATTTACTGAGTTCATAACTCATAAAAAAGAAGCTACCGTAAAAGAAATTAAAATGAATAACTTTATAGGTCAACTTGAAGAATCATTATTAAAGATACTTGAATTTATCATGTATTTAACTCCCAAATATTTCCATGATAATCATATATAATACCGACCCAACAATATTCATCTAAGTTCCTTATTTTTGTTCCCTTATATCCCTACAAATACAATATCAATTTTGCACCTTTTCACAGACCGCTGTTGAAACAATGGAGACACAATTCAAAAAAGCATAGGAAATTCAAGTATTACACTGCCTTTGCAGAAAAATTAATACTTACTCAGGCTGTGATTCAGAAGCAGTGAGGGAAGCTTGAGCGATGAAATGTTGGAGAGAGGGTCCGTCGAACTTGCTAGAGAGAGGGAGCTGGTGAGAGTCGGAGAAGTCTCTCCTGAGATTAAGTGCGAAACTTCTCTTGATTGATCTCTGCTCGAGACGGCGGTGAGGAATTGAGCACGAGGCGTGCGGCTTCGTGTAGAGGAACCGCAGACTGTTGAAGCAGCATCGTCTCTGGATTCTGATGCGAAGCGCAGAGTGAGGTATGGAAGAGAGAGACGAGAGGGAAGACGCCATTGAAGGAGAGGAAGGTCCCTCTGTTTCGTTGTGTGCTCTGCAGCGTTTTCGATTCGACAGCAAGACAAGAATACAGGATAGGGAACAACAAAACGCACCGTTTGACCAAACGCCAGAAGGGCATTATGGTAATTTCGTAGATGTACTGTTATTCGTATGAGCACGGCATTCTCGCAGTTGGCGGATCAGTCAGAATAACTGAAAATTTAAAATGGAGAAGTTGAGAGCTACACGTCATTGGCTCCGGCGATCATCGAGATCGCTGCTTGATCGTCGGTCGGAGCTGAATTCTGAGAAATCGCTTCACCGCTCCGGTATAGTTAGTGTTACCGGCGAACAGTTCCTTCTGGATTTTCGTTTTTGACCTGTTTTGGATTACTAAGTATGCTGTTCTTCTCCGTGACAGTTCTTGCGCAATCATTTTCTGGATACCAGAAACGGATTCTTCCGGTATGTTTACATCCTTTGAGAGATTACAGAGGTCTCGCCGAAACAAATGCGATTCGGTCCAGATGTTTTGGCTCTGTGGCTGAGCTGGTTCAGAGAAGCCCTTCCTTTTCTACGTTGAATTCTGATGACATTAGCTATTTTAAAGACATTCTAGGGGAGAAGAATGTCATCCAGGATGAGGATACACTTGAATTTGCAAATACGGATTGGATGCGGAAGTATAAGGGCTCAAGTAAGCTTCTGCTTCAACCTCGGAGCACTGAGGAGGTTCGCTTCTACTTCTTTGATACGAGTTTCTGATGTTATTATTCAATGCTTGATTTGAGTTCTTGCAAGAGCTAGGATAGCTGAGAGAAAATATTATGATGTAGATTACTTGAGCTAAGATTACTATAAGCCTAAAGAAATTTAGGTAATTAGATTCTATTCATCATCAATTTATATTTGCTAGATTTCTTCTATTAATTTTTATTTTTCATGATTGATAATTTCTAGTTAGTTGAGTTTTGGATGTACAGTTATTATATGCTCATAATCTAGGGGTTGAGAATAACTGTAATCTCTAGCTTGTTGAAGTTAAATTCTTAGGTTGATAGATGAGAGATTAAAGAAAATATATGTCATCTCTAATATGATACCTAATTTGCAACCTTTAACTAGAGAGAACAATGGCAAAACATGTGTTTCGTGCTGTAATTTAATTTCACCGTAAGAATTGTGGCTCTTGACATTTGCACTCAAGACAACCTAGTGAAGTTATGTGACGTAGTTAGCATGTCTGTTAAACCTACAAAAGGTTTAAATGGATGGGTTAGAACTCAATAATTTAACATGAGTTCATGCGGAAAACTATTTAGTGCCTAATTCTTTTAGCGGACCTGCTGTTTGTGTGCATTCCATGTTCATATGGTGGGTGAGTTAATGTCTGACATGATTCAGACATACTGATATGAAGTGTTCACATCAGTTGCCCTCGGTCAAGTGGGCATTTTTTGGTTCCTAACCACCTTACTTTCAATAAAGGCCATGGATATGCTGGATGCATTATCAGATCTAGGTCCTTTATGTATTTTAGTATTTGCATGCATTTCATTTGGCAGGTCTCACAGATTCTTAAATACTGCAATTCAAGGCGTTTGGCTGCTGTTCCTCAGGGAGGAAATACTGGTCTTGTTGGTGGAAGTGTGCCGGTTTTTGATGAGGTAATTTACTTCCCAACTATTTGTCAACATAACTCTATTTACCTTCCACCTATTTTTTGTGGATGCAAGTGGTCAGAGCTTAGCTATTGGCAGTTGTGTGCTTTAGTAAACTTTACTTCTCAACTTGCAAAGTAAGACTAGAATAATATAACTAGAGGTTCTATAATAAATATAAGACTAGAAAGAACCTTTTTGTTCCTTTATTTTATATTAACTGGATCGCTTTCACTGATATAACTTTGCAGGTGATCATCAATTTTGGTTCAATGAATAAAATCATAGCTTTTGACAAGGTATATATTTAGGTCACTTCCCACTCATGTTCTGTCATCTATGATGGATCACATTTTTCCATTTATAGATACTTTTGAAACTTCTAACCATTTTTGGATTATTGTAGTAGACTGTGGAGTGTTCCAGATATATTGTCTTGTGTTTTTGAAAATTATCTGATGTCGTTTCTCCTTTTTTTCTTAAAATCATGAATGAGAAGTATATCCTCTTTTATTATATAAGCATCTTTCACAGTTTTTCACACTCCAGTTCCATACCAGCTTCCCCCTTTGACAACATTCCATTAAAATTTAATATTTAGACACAATCTTCCAACTGCCAAAAACTAAAATCTTTCCAAAGCAAAATATCAGAATTGTTAAATTATTGATCATCTTACATTCTTACTGCTATTTTCAGATCAGTGGTATTTTGGTATGTGAAGCAGGATGCATATTGGAAAATCTTACTTCTTTTCTGGACAATGAAGGGTAATTGTCTACTGGATCATTATTGTTTTGTTGTGATTACCTGAAGTACTGATTAATTTCTATCTTTATAATCATACTCTGACTCTTGTCAGTTGTAGTTATGGAAATTGATCTATTTGTACTTGGGTATAAGTAAGACATTTTGGATTCAGATTTATTATGCCACTGGACTTAGGTGCGAAAGGTAGCTGCCAGATTGGTGGAAATGTTTCAACCAATGCTGGTGGTTTGCGTCTTGCTCGTTACGGTTCACTTCATGGGAATGTACTTGGTGAGGATTGTTCTTTTTAATTGGATTCTTTTTATCTTTTTGGTAATGGTTTTAATTTGATATGCTGTTCAGGGAAGTAGGTAGTAAGTCCTTGTCTTTCTCTTTCATTCCTCTAAGCTCTTACCATGTTTTTCATTGACCCCTTATAGGTCTGGAAGCTGTTTTAGCAAATGGGGATGTGCTTGATATGCTAGGCACTTTACGTAAAGATAACACTGGATATGACTTAAAGCATTTGTTTATAGGTATGCACTAGACAAAACTTCAAAATTGTTGAAAGAATGTGTTTCCCAAGTATGTGATTTTATGTAGCTCTATTGTTACTGCAGGAAGTGAAGGATCCCTGGGAATTGTAACTAAAATTTCTATACTTACTCCTCCCAAGCTATCTTCAGTAAATTTAGCTTTTCTTGCATGCAAAGATTATTTTTGCTGCCAGGTGGCATCACTTCTGCACTTTAATATTTGTTTTTATATTGACCCAGCATGAATGAGCATTTATTCAGAATTTAATTTTTCTTTTTATAGTTACTAAGAGCCATATTACTTCAGCTGTAACCATATTTATCTACAGAATTTTGACTCAAAATTATGTATCCACCCTGCTTTGCAATTTCTCTTTATCACTTCTTCACCTGAAGAAAGTACAAATTTGTAAATGTTTAGCTCATTACTTGTCTTGTTTATCAGAAACTCTTACAGGAGGCAAAATGGAAACTTGGGGAGATTCTGTCTGCTTTTGAATTTTTGGATATTGAAGCAATGGATTTAGTAAGCCTTAATTAAATATCAAACTTTATTCTTTTATTCTGGTCTCTGTGAATCGTAAAGCAGTATTGTTGACACTAAGACCATTTACTGTGATGCTGATTTTTTTTTTTTTTTTAATCCTGCAAATATAGACAGTTCTGCTTGGATAGGAGCTGTATGCAATTGCTGTTTTATGATACTTTCTCTTTCTGACTCCTACTTGCTAAATTTTACCTTTAAGGTTCTAAATCATTTAGAGGGAGCTCGGAATCCATTGCCTGCTTCAATGCACAACTTTTATGTTCTGATTGAGACAACAGGCAGTGATGAATCTTCTGACAGGTAATGCCTCTGTTCTTTTATTTATTGACATTTTTTTGCCAAAGTTCTTTTATTTATTTATTTATTGATGCTAACTCTTTTCTCTTGTATTTTGCTTCATATTCAGTCTCTGTTCTATCTAGGCACCCTTTGCTTGGTCCTGAATGGAGCTTAATTTCCCTCTTTTTCCTTTGGTTATTAAAGCATAAAAATAAAAATAAAATAATTTTATTTTAACAGTGTATTTTCCTGGTGAATTATTTTCTGAAACTCAATTTATCCTTTTAACATGGCCATAATTGAATATAAAACTCACAAAAGCTGTATAACTGCAGATAACAACCACAATCTGTATCCCCTTCCACTATGCCTTGACCTAACCATTCTCAAAAGAATAGACACAGATAACTTACCAGAAATTCTGATACCAACTGCGGCTGTTAAATTGTACCTTATACATGGATAAGCTAATCAGCATAACTAAACTTTTGAACAAACTCCTTTGCCTTGTGGCTTTGGTTGTAAACACAATTTGATACCCCCCCATGATTTTTCTTTAGTCACTCTAAGGATGAATATCTTGCAAAGTTGAATTTAATTGATATCTGTAATATTTACAGTAAAGTATAAACCAGACAAGATCCAATTATTTTGAACCTCTTGTAGATATCTTGTTTTATTTTGTGCCCTGTGATATTTTATGACAATAATTTTATAATAATGTCTGCAGGGAGAAACTTGAGGCCTTCTTACTAAGCTCAATGGAAGGTGGTTTAATTTCTGATGGTGTAGTTGCACAAGATATTAACCAAACATCCTCATTTTGGCGTATACGTGAGGTACGTATTTTCAACACCTGGAATATTTTTTGATACCATCCTTTATAATTGTTATCATTGGGATATGCTTTGCCAAATTCTGGACTGTTTTGAACCATTGTTCATGAGAATTAAAATGATGAGTTACTGACAAAGATCCTGTTTCCGGCACTGGTTCTCTTTACTGCATTAATATAGTTCTTTATGTATTGCTGCAGGGTGTGGCAGAAGCATTGATGAAAGCAGGGGCTGTATACAAATATGATTTATCAATACCGGTTGAAAAGATGTACAATCTTGTGGAGGACATGCGAGCAAGACTTGGTGAGCAAACTTTGGTTTAACTGACTCTATAATTTAAAATGCTGTCTTCCTTCTCATTTTGTCCTCCACACCTTTAACTATTGCAGGAGGGATCACTTCAGTTTCATATATTCTTTTTTAAATCTAAACTTGCAAAATATGTTATCTTTTTATGCATTTGATATTACTTTCTAGGTGTTTGATTATACCATTAGTGATCATCTAGTATGGTATGTAGAAGCTTTAGTCAAATATCCACTTTTATGCATATCTCCAATTTTCAGGTAATTTGGCCAAAGTAGTTGCATTTGGGCACCTTGGGGATGGAAATTTACATCTTAATATTTCATCTCCAAATTATGATGATATGGTAAGTTCCTTCATGCACTTGGAAGAACTACTTCCATATGTATTAATCAACTCTCCTCGATGTCACAGATTTTGGCACAAATTGAACCCTATGTCTATGAATGGATATCTAAGCACCGTGGGAGCATTAGTGCAGAGCATGGCCTGGGACTGATGAAAGCTAATAAGATCTTTTACAGCAAATCATCTGAAACAGTGAGTATTTTCTGAATTCACAATGATGGAAATATCTTATATTGTGGATTTGTTTTTTCTTCCTTCTCATAATAATACAAACACCTGTTTGGATAGGTGCAATTAATGACTTCCATCAAAAAGTTGCTTGACCCCAATGGCATACTCAACCCATACAAAGTTCTTCCACATTCACACAATCCATAAATCTGAGGTAGGAAAAATTGGTCAATTAAGCATTTCTCTTTTTTGAAATTTCTAGATCACAACCTGAAAAATCGTTTTATGATGCATGAATACTGTAGAGTATGTCTAGGGAGGATGGCAATTATTGATGCAAGCTAAGCTGTGGAAATGAGGGCCTACTAGTTTGATTAGAGGAATATTGGATTTGGCAAATAAAGATCATCGTTTTTGATGCTGTGCAGGAATTTGGTGTAATTAAAAATCAGAATACGATAATAATGTAGGGAGCAGGTGTCTGCTAATTTGAACATGGTGAAACTGCTACATCTAGATCTTACTTTTTAAGTTTTTTCTTTGTGATGGAAAAAAAGGCATTGTCTGTATGATGAACTTGCTGCTTTTCTTTACCACTCGACTTAGACGAAATGAAGGTAGATTTGTTTTGAACTACAACATGCCATTTTATTTATTTATTTAACTATTGGAGAAACAAGAGGTTATGATATGCCTATTTTTTGAAAATGACACTTAGATTATTCTGCTTGTTTAGTGCATCATTCCCGAGTGGTCTATGTTGGCTGATACGAGGACCATTGCCAAATCTACATATTTTACTTATTGAGACTGGAATCGGCAAAACCCTCTCTTATACCCCAAACACACACATGAGCTCTTGAACTAAAAACAATGCAAATGAGTCCTTAAAAACCTAAAATGATGCAAATTTGCTCTTAAACCTCTTGAATGATGCAAATCAACACTCTTCATTAATTACCCGACGCATGTGACCTCATGCCGTCTGTTTTTTAACTTCGCTTGGTTTCACTTTTCTATGTGAATGTTAATGTGAATCAAATCAAATGACCCCTTGAGTGGTAAAAATCTCGTTAAAATAGTCCATGTGACATGAGAACACTAAATAAAAAAAATGATCATATGGTTCATTTTGGGGGTTTTTTTTATCACTCTAAGGGCCTTTTAATTTACATCAGTATCCATGTAGAAAAATGGATCCAAGCAAAGGAAAAGAGCAAATGATATGAGGTCACATGGTTGGGCCATCATGATAAAAGCTAATTTGCATCTTTTGAGTTGTTTGAGGGTTAATTTGCATTACTAGTTGGAACCCAAGCAATGCCCCGGCCATAAAATTAAAAAAATAATAATAATAAAAAATGGAGTTGGGGGTACACACTAAAATTAGAATATTTACTCACGTCATCTAAGAAGGGACATCTCTAGGGATATATAATCACAAACATCTTAATTAAGCATGTCAAAGCAGTTTCAGTAGCTTTCATGGGGTAGTTTGGAAGTTGATACGTTCCTATCTTAAGGCATGACTTGCCAAATCTAATTGTTGTTCTTGCCGCAGCTGCTGGAGGTGCTGGTGGTGGAGGTGGTGATCTGAAGAGGAAGATCTTACTAATGGGGTATCCAACTTCAAGATGAAGAAGCTCAGCTTTGCTTGAGAAAGGGGTACCTCACCCCGCTTCGTGGAAGTATTGGTGAGTTGATTAGGTAACTTGTTTCAAGTGTAAATAACATTTTTATTTTTTTTGGGTACATCAAATGTAATTAAAATGTTTATATGTACTTTAATTCTTATAAAAGTTTCAAAAACACTACAATTGATTACTTTAATAACTATGATCATATTAGTTACCTTTAAGTAGTTTTAGCGAAAAAAGGAGAAGTTGATACCACAACCTACTCCCAATGGACAGGATCTAAAAAGACTAGAGGCAAAACCTGAGTCATACCTTCCACATTCTAGCTTACGTACCAAAAAGAAGAAGTCTCTTTTACATCCCAAATTCCATGATACTTGTTGAGAATCATTGGATAATGCTACTACCATATGATATAGTCATTTGATTAATAAGATAATGGAATTGCAAAACTAAAAGATTAATTACAACTTTAGAAATAAATCCAATATGATAGATGTTTGGATTATCATGTTAAAATTATAAAGTATTATATGATATACAAAGTGCAGATTTTGGCATGGCATATGTGAAAGAAACTAAAAATCATATTAATCCCCCAAATACTCAAACCATTGAATCTAGGATTTTGGATAAAATGATGATATATCTTTCAAAGTTTTCAATAATTGAAAAGATCCTTTATAAAATATTGAACTAAATAGCATTAATCATAGTTTGTTTGATATCAAATGACACTGGCTATATCCTTCCAACCTCTAATTTGTTTGATTGACTTACAATATTTATAAAAACTCTTGCAACAAAAATAAATAAATAAATAAATAAAGATTAACAGCTAAGTTGGGAAATAGAAGCAGAGCATAGCTCCAATAAAAAATATCAATTAGTTCTTCGGTTTCCTAAATTTGCAAATATCAATCAACCAAACACGGATTTATAAACTTATAAGGAAAAGTTAAATAGAAGACATTAGCACAGACAATTTATCGCCATAGGGAAATTTTAAACATTAATTTATGCCTGCCAGTTGGCCCCCAAGTCAAGACAGTGAAAAACATAGCCATATCAAGTTTGAAAGTTTAAGTAAAACAAGTTAAAATAACAACTACATATAAACCTTGTGCATTTCTACAACAGAAGGAGAAGAAGAAAAAAAAAAAAACCTCCTATAAGAAAACTTTTCTTAAGTTTTTTTGAAAAGTTACTTACTGTGTGTTTGGTGCGTAAAAATAGCTTTTTAAGTTTAGAAGTACAAGTTAAACCAATACCATTTTT